GCTTTTTATTGATCGCCATTATTTCTCTTACTTTTTCGGAGTGTAAACGATAAAAACTAGGCACCTGACGGTGCCACTCTGGAACAAAGAATTCTTTTCCTTACTCTTTAAACACATTACTGAAGGATTGGGTGGAAAAACATGCTCCATATGAAGCTATAGTGGATGGAGCAAATATTGGGCTCTACCGACAAAATTTTGCAGATGGTGGATTCAGCATTCCACAGGTTGTACAGCTTAAGTTGGCCTTTCTGTCCCTGAGAAAGTATTTCTCTTCGTCCTTCCTTTTAGTGCTAATTTGTTTTACTAATTATGTCTGTGCTGTCAAATTATAATAGAGCAGCTTGATGCTGTGGTGAAGGAAATGTATTGCCGAAGTGGAAATAAATGGCCCCTTGTTATCTTGCATGACAAACGTCTGCGGGGACTTTTAGAAAATCCTTCTTGCAGAAAGGTGGTTGAGGAATGGATGGATAATGGTGTTGTTTATAAGACCCCACATGGTTCCAATGATGATTGGTAAGAGATGAAACCAATATTTTGTTTCTTCTTTTGTTGTTTGGTTGCCATCTGCATGCTGATAAAATATAATGCAATATCCTTCTGTCGGAGAAGTATCATGGTTTATGCTTCTTTAGCCCATCAAATTATGTACTGCACATACTCACTATGTGTGATGCTTGTCGTGCTTGATGGCATAAAATATATCAAGTTGAAGAATAACTCTTTTTTTTAATCTATGTGCTATTGTGATTATGCTGAGCATGTATGGATAAATTCTCCATTGTTTTAGGTATTGGCTCTACGCTGCTGTTAAACTAAGGTGTCTACTTGTGACAAATGATGAGATGCGAGATCACATTTTTGAGCTCTTAGGAAGCAGCTTTTTTCTCAAGTGGAAGGAAAGGCATCAGGTATGTGCTTTCAGGAAACTGCTAACCTTGAATTGTCACTCTTCTTGTCATTTCAAAAGAGGATTGTTCTTCCATCATCATTATGAGCTTTTGTTTGCGTCCTTGTTTCATATGGTAAAAGGTGCACTGAAAAAAGATTTGGACATGCATCTGGTTTCCCATGTTGAACCATTCTTATTGTCAGTATTTAGCCCCATGTTCCATCCTCAATAGGATTTTATATTGTAATTGATTCTGTGTCTACTCCATAAACACATGAATGCCTGCATCTATAACTTGAGGGGGTAAACTGAGGTTACCCAGTTGGGTTAAAATATTTTATTATTATTTACTTTTGAATTTAAAAATTTAAGATTTTTTTGTGTATTATTGATGATAGCATTTGTGTATTTTAGTACCCTTGAATCAAAATACTGGTAATTAGCAATTCTGAGCAACGGATTGGGCTTGTGTGGAGCCCCTGAAGTTGCAGAGTAGCTTTGAATTCAAATTGCATTTGGTTAGTATCTCATTTCTCTTTCTTCATATTCATAGGTTCGATATACTTTTCCAAAGGGTAGCCTGAAGCTTCAGATGCCATCTCCATATTCTCTAGCCATCCAGGTAAAATATATAAATCGAAGTTATGGGTTGGTACCCTCTTTTTTGGTACCATGCTAATATACTATTTACATTTTTATTTCAAAAAAAAAAAAATCTTATTCAGTATAGAATTGTACATACTTCCATCACTTCTTTAATGGTGAATACTTGTTCTATCCTTCAGTCATCGGTATCTGCACTATGACATTGTAATCACATTGCCAGTGCTTGTGGTCACATTCATATGCTTATGATGTAGGACAAATTATGGTTAATTTACCTACTAAAGAATTTGAGGATAAGAATATAAACATCATAGTTTCTTAGACATCACATATAAGAAATGTTAATCATCATATTTAAGGATTTGATTATTTTAAAAGAAAAATTTAAGGATATTGTGTCACACAATTAAAAATTTGAGAAATTCTTGAAATATTTTATTAAATAACTAAATCCTGTCTCAAGAAGTGAAATGAGAAAGATATTTACATAGTTGTTCCAAGAACATAGGAACTGCTAAAACTTTTTTACCTAACAAGCATCAAAATCGAGCGTTATGGAGGTGCGAAGACGAGCATTCTGCTGAACAGGAATCAAAGACTAGATTTCTGGAGCTGCAAAGACGAGCATTCTGGTGTCCACCAAGGCTAAGGGTGACTTGAAGTGAACAAGCATATACTCGGGTTTTGGCTGCACACCATTGAACGGCCAAAGTCGCCGCCTCTGGGGGAATCGAAGTGACTACTTAGAACAGAAGATTTCTGGCCATTAAGAGTAAGACTTTTGATGTTCATGAGATTCTTGTTCTCAAGCTCAGTCCCTTGAAGGACTCTAATCTCCTCCACTCTGTCCAGGCTGTTGATAACAACTAACAGCTCATCTCTGCTAAAAGGCAATGAACCGAATTTGTCTTTGCTCCAAGTCTTCATTATTCTTTTAACACGACCAAGCTTGTAGGAAATCTTAAAACTAGCAAAATCCATGACTTTCCTCTCACCTTGTCTCAACCAAATCTTTGAAGCCATCTACTTAAAGCCACATGTTTTCATATCTCAACAGGGACATATGTTTTGGTACTTTCTGGTATCAGTTAATTATGATTTTTTTAAAAAAAATTGCATTGAATGGTTCCCGACCAAACTAAACAGTCCAGTTGTATATTTTGGATCTATTCATTTTTTGTCAAATGCTATCGGAAGTTTAAGTCCCATAGTCACATTTTTCTAGATTGTGGTGTGACCTGGAGACTTTAGGCCGCTCTTATGCACATTCGATGGTAGATGGATCTGGCCATCTCTTGAGCATTTTATGTATTTTTCACTCTAGGGCTTTGGGAAGGATAAGAAAGAAGTGACTACTTTGGAGAGATACTCTTTTCCCTGGTTGTTGGATGCTTTAAATGTTTCAGATATTGTATTTACCTTCTTCGATTCTCTGAAATAGGATCACCATTTTGTGATCTTTTTGGCATAGGACGCATGGACGTTATTGGGGGCTCTCTGAACCTTCACTCGTGTACTTATATCTCACCTCTCTCTAGCAAGATTTTCTTTGTTGTCAAAACTTACAGAGGGCCATGATGAGTTATGACCAGGATATGAAAGGTCACATATTGCATCTGCATATTGGCAAAAGACAGTTAATTTTGTGTGGATCATTCCATGATGATTGCGAAGGTTCTTTTGTGAGATCAAGACGTATATGCTGATTTGTCCAGTATACCTGGAACGTGATGAAATGGTGAACCTTCTATTATAGGATTGGGCGAAGAGAGGTGTGCAAAGGATAGTTACTCGTCCAAGAGGCCTAGGGATACTGGACAATACATATGTATATAATTACATATATTGCAATTTTGTAATAAGGACGCCACTATCAGAGTTCTTGGTGGGTGGTCCAGGCAGTGAGGTTTTCCGTGTGCAGTTGAATATAAAGTTGAAAATTGGGAGATAACATTGTATATGAATTTTATGACATCGGTCTCATCAACCAAAATGGACTACGGTCATCATTCCGAGTTGATATGGAAGTTCACGTTATCAGGAGCATTCTCATAGAAATATCCTTAAGGGCCCTTGATCGAAGCTGAGGTGAATGGATGGTATTCCCCAGCCCAAAGGTCTTCAACAACAAAGCATCACCCCGTCTAGCACGCCAATGGTTCCAACATCAAAGGAATGCATAGAAAAAATAGAGCATAGGCTAAGGAGGAGATAAATTGCAAGGAACGGGCAT